ATGCAAAACATGAGGGGGTCGACATTATACAATTTTCTTGAGATTTTTGCTTCAGATTTACCGAAAACCATATAATATGAGGTCAAACCCAAACAGCACTTTCACTTGTATCCAATCAGGCATGCCCTTGCACTATATAGTTGAAGGTAAATCCAAAGGAAATTGGGCAAAAATTGTATAGTGTATGGCCAGCCTAAATGAGGAGTCTAGTTTTAGCACTGTGTATCATGACCAGCTTGCCATTTTTAACCACTTAAGAGCCGCCCCATAGCAGATATACTGCTACAGAGCAGCTCTGGTGCGCAAAATCATGTGTGTATATATATGTAAGTTTGCATTTCTGGGCAGGGGGCGCACACTGCCCTACCCACGCTGCTATTGGCTGCTGGATATGCCAATCACTGGGTCCCAGATGGCTATTCCTCCGGACTGGGTCTCAGTGATTGGCAGCAGGGCTGAGAGGGGAGAGATCTGGGTGTAAAACACAGATCTCTCTCCTGTTAGCATGGACATGCTGCTTTGTATCTCTCCGCACAGATTCCTGTCCAGTGCCCTGCCTGCACTTTTACCGGGAAACTTGAGAACATCCATGGCATCCAAAAAGCGTCCCTTTAGGTCAAAAGCGGTTTTAGACCGGCTAGAGAACAGTGATAGTAAATCAGAACCACTTGCAGAATTGAGTGATAATGATTCGTGGGGAAATTCGTCATCAGACACTGAAAAGTGAAAACGATGATTCTGCGACTGAGCTCAGTGATGTGTGAACTTGGCGCTATATTTCAATTTCAGTGTTTTTGGTTTGATTATATTATTGAATTAAAAATTTATTATTATATTATTATTTTTTATGATTATTTATTATATTATAATTTTATGATTTCGTGTTTCAAATTTTTATCCTACCCGGGATGTTTACTAGACTCTTGTTCAGACAGATTTCAGTGAGTTATTCCTAAAAATTACAGCCTACAATATAAAACAACAAATTTCCATGCAAAACAGTACCGCTTTGACACCGCTATTGACAAATCAGACTACCAGGGAGGTTAACCCTAACCCTTAACCCCAACCCTAACATGTGACTTTGGACACATAAAGGTTCCTGCACTACTTCAATGCTACTTGAGTGCCAGACAGTGTAAAGTCACATCAAATTATCACCTACTCTCCTCACCTTTAGGCGCACCCTGAAAACCCATCTCTTCAGGGAAGAAACCCCGCCCTACCTAATTGCCATCTCCTCCGCCCTTCCCACCTAATTCCCCCCAGCTATTCCTTCCGTACCACTATCCCCTCCCTCCTAGATTGTATGCTCCAAGGAGCAGGGCCCTCGAACCCCTCGTGTATCGCATTGTATTGTTATTGTACTATCTCATGTTTTGTCCCCCATTGTAATGTACAGCGCTGAGCAAACTGTTGGCGCTATATATAAATACTGTATAATAATAATATTAACCACATGCCACCCAGCCACTGTATAAATATGTTGGCAGGGCGGCACGGGCAGGCAAAACCACATTTTAAAACGTGTGTTTTGTAAACAGGTAGGGGGCACGCGCGCAAGGCGCGCCACCGCCCTACCTGTCCCGCCAATCACAGCCACGGATGTCAGTCGCCGGGTCACAGCCGGTCCTTACCGGCTATCTCCCGGCGATCGGCGGCAATCAGTGACAGAGAGCACAGCTGCAGTAGCTGTGCTTTCTGTCACTTCCCTGACAGCTCGAGGACAAGCTGATCGGGACAGAAGAGTTTCTCTCTCTGATCAGTCTGTCCCCATCCAGCACACCCCCCGCCCCCTAGTAAAACACTCCCCCTCACACAGATAACCCTTCCCTGAAAAAAAGTTAACCCCTTCCTGCCCAGTGCCATTAGTACATTGTCAGTGGTTTTTTTTTTTTGCACTGGTCACTGTATTGGTGTCACTGGGGATGTCAGTGACCCCAAGTCAGTACCCCCCAATGTCAGAATGTCCGCCGCAGTCCCGCAGTTCCGCCATAAGTCGCTGATCGCCGCCATAAGTCACTGATCGCCGCCATAAGTCGCTGATCGCCGCCATTATTAGTATGAAAAAAAACTAAAAATCCCAGTATCTTTCCCGCCATTTGTAAACGCTATAACTTTTCACATTAAACCAATTAATTTACACGTATTGGGTTTTTTTTTTTTTAGCAAAGACATGTCGCAGAATACATTTTGGCAGAAATTTATGACTAAATTTGATTTTTACATTTTTTTTTATTTGACATGTTTTATAGCAAAAAGTCCAAAATATTGTTTTTTTTTCCTCAAAATTGTAAAAGCCTTTTTTTTATAGTGCAAAAAATAAAAACCGCACAGGCGATCAAATACCACCGAAAGAAAGCTCAATTTGTGGGAAAAAAAAGGATGTAAATTTCATTTATGTACCGTATTGCTTGACCGCGCAATTGTCCGTTAAACTAGCGCAGCGCTGTATAGCAAAAAATGGCGTAAATTGCAGTATCTATACCATAGTTTGTAGACGCTATAACTTTTACACAAAGCAATCAATATACACTCATTGGGATTTTTTTTCTACCAAAAACATGTAGCAGAATACATTTTGGCCTAAATTTATAACCAACTTTGAGTTTACTATATATTTTTTTATAGCTGAAAGTAAAAAATATTGTTTTTCTTCAAAATTTTTGGCCTTTTTTTGTTTATAGTGTGAAAAATAAAATGCGCACAGATGATCAAATACCACCGAAAGAAAGCTCTATTTGTGTGAAAAAAGGGCATAAATTTAGTTTGGGTGCAGCATTGCATGACCGCGCAATTATCAGTTGAATTAGTGCGGCGCCGAGTAGCAAAAAGAGGCCTGGTCATTAAGGGGGGTAAATCCTCTGGAGGTCAAGTGGTTAATAAAGTCACACTACAGGAACAGAACTTTCAAACTTTCCTATTAGCCAAAATGCATTAAAAAAGCATCAAAAACACAAAACGCACCGGAAAAACACATCAACCACATCCTCCATAGATGTGAACTTAGCCTTGGTTAGGATTTGCCTTTAATTCCACTTCAAAGTTCAGCAATGGAAGCCATCCCTTGATCAACCTATGGATTTGACAATAAACATGACACAGAGGCTAGGTATCAGGATGTACATTATCTGCACTGTCATCAGCAGCTGACACGATAAAACAGAGAAAATCAAGAAAAAGCTATCACTGCTTTATTGCATAGTTCCTTTAATAACTAAGTCAACATAAATCGGAACTAAACTCTCAATCAGCATGAATTGATTAGAATCATTATGCTACTAACATTAGTAAATAGATAGGAAAGTATATTATATCTACTTGTTCTAAACTTTATTTTTTTACATTTCTTCAATAAAGCAAGTCATAGACAATGCAAAAACTGAATACAAATTTTGAATTGTTCATTTTTCACATCATTAGTGTGCTAGCTGCAACATGCGATTTTCGTGCCACAATCAAAAATGCCTGATCCAATATGATGGATTTTTATTAAAGAAATAAAGCAACTGATTGCACAGTCGTATGAGTTATTTTCATTTTTCCCTACGACAGAACTTTCACATTTTGACTCGTCTATGGCCTGCCTTACTTCCTGGTTTCTGGTCTAGGCCAAAATTATGTCATACATCCCAGGAGTCTTCATTGACATTTTTTTTTTCCTTTCATCTGGATGAGGGGAAGACGGGCTTTCTCATTTAAAGAGGAGCTTGAGTCTCCCCCCAAAAAATGAAAAGACAAAAGCTACAAATACTGTAGCTGCTGGCTTTTAATAAAAAGACACTTATCTGTCCAGGGATCTAGCGCTGTCCCTGGTTCTTCACTGGTTTTTGGGTCCCTGGTACTGCGCTTTGTGAATGGTCCCGTAGTCTTCTGGGACCTGTAACTTGTCCCAGAAGGATGCAGGAAAACGGTGGCGGTAACTTCCGGGCAGAAGTGGGAGTGGATACCTGTCAAAACCAGGTCTCTGCTCCCCCCCAAAAAAATAAAAGTTTCCAAAAGTGGGAGAGGAGGGGGGAGGAGGCAGAAAGCGGAACTTACCCTTTTGGATGAAATTCCGCTTTAAGCACTTTTCTGCCTGTGTGCCTGAGATAAGGGCAGATTGTGATGGGAGTCACTTTGGGTGGGGGGCCCATGGAACCCAGCTCACTTTGGAGAGGTGGGGAGACCCCTGTCTCAGCTCCCCATATCCCTCTTATGTGTAAGTCACCCTGTGCCTGTTAGGGGTACAGGGTGATCTGTTCTAATATTGTGTAGACCATGCATAGGAGATAGGTGGGGTGGGGGTTGTGGATTATTTGGTGCTGTGTGGCTGCATTCCATTGTTCTATTGTTTGTCTTGCTTGGGAGCAAACTATTATGGGATGTATGTGTTTATGTATTAACTTAGTAGGGGGGGGGGGTGTCTCCAGCAGCCCTTCCTCCTGATAGGACTGTCTGCTGGTGTGACGTTTGAATACCTGTGTGTCTCTTGTAACTAAATATAGATTGCCCCTCCCTGTGTCATTATGCAAGGAGGGGGGATTGTCCCCTTATGTGTATATATCTTGTATCTGTGTTCAAATAAACTAGGCTTGTATGGTCGGCTGTGGTGTCTGTTGTTGGTGCTCGGACAGGGAAGCGGTAGTCTAACGGAAGTACCCAAACACAGTCTGGGGTCGGTTCCTTTACACAGATGGATTCCAGGAAGCTAATGCTACATGAATCATCTGCCCTCACTCAAGATGGCCACAACTAGAATTGCTAGGGTGTGTTTTTCAAAGGATTTATCAACAAAATAAAGCATGGAGACATGAATGGATGGGGGAGTTTGCTTCCAATAATAAAAAACGAATTCATAGTGTTTTCAGTTTGTTGTGCTCAACTCAGTTTATTTCTGCTTTAAGCTTTACTCAAAACTGAACAACAAGAAACAGAATTTCAAAGAGTTTCTGCACATCAAATCGGCAAAAAAAAAAAAAAACCAAACAAGAACAAATGATGCTGATTCTCAGCTTCCTCTACTGGTAGCCGGAGAGTTTCACCACGGTGGGGTAGCGAGTACGGTGGGCCATGCACTTCTCCCGATCAATGAACAGAGTGTTGGCTTTGTTAGCAATATCCTTCTCCAGAGACATTCTGGTGTCCTCCAGATTGCGGAGACACTGCTCTGCCTCCTCCAGTTTCTGCTTGAGGAACTCCACAGACTCTGACAGCTCTCCCACTTCACTCACCAGCCTGAATAAACACAGAATTGAAGATTGATATACATATTATGAGATGTCTAGGGAAATATAGGCAAACATTCCACCGTAAGCAACTCCTGTCTTCATTCTGTTTTCCATAATCTTCCTCCCGTAAAATCTAACATCATTTTTCTATTATGCTATGGGAACACCCATGATGGTTTATTTTTTATTACGTTCCAGTTACAACCATAGTTATGCTACTGACAAAACATACATGCCACAGCTATACAGTGGAACTAATACAAAGTGGTTCAGCCAGTATAATTGCTTCATTTTCTAGTCTGACCTTAGAAAAATTGATTTAAAGATTGTTGAAATTATGTCCACAAATAGCACCATTTTTCAAAGATAAAATCAGAAACGCATGTAAACACATGTAATTGCATATGGTTTCTCAACAATCCCACTCTAGTCTAATGTGGTATATATAGTTCCTTTCAGGGGAAGAAAGCAAGACCTGATGGTGGTGGGTTTGGGGATCATGAGCTAATAGAGTTGGGGGATGAATGGTGGTGTTGGGCAGGAAAGATTAGATTGAGTAACAAGGGGACAGAGAAGGCATCAGGATCAAATCTCGATGGATATTTGATGAAGGAAAGTAGAGAAGGTAAACAGCAGTTGCACACAATTCAAAGATATGTTGGAGAATGAAGTGATGGGAAATGAGCAGGACAACTCTTCAAAGATCAGAAAAGGACAGCAAACATAAAGTGGTTGTAAAGGCTCAAGGTTTTCACCTTCATGCATTATCTGCATGAAGATAAAAAACTTTCTGTGTGTAGCAGCTCCCCCCCAATACTTACCTGAGCCCATCTTAATCCAGTGATGTGCACAAGAGCCTCAGCTGTCCCTCCTGATTGGCTGAGAAAGCAATGTCAATCACATCCAGCGAGCCAATGAGGAGAGAGTGCAGGATGGGGCCGAGCCACGTCTGTGTGTGAATAGACACACAGAGCAGTGGCTCAGGAATGAGCCTGCTTGGGTGCCCCCATAGTAAGCTGATTGCTGTGGAGAGCATTTGGCAAGAGACAGTGGCCAGGAGCACCAGCAGGGGAACCTGAGAAGAGGAGGAAACAGGAGCGCCTGCGGGGGACCCAAGAAGAGGAGGAAACAGGAGAACCTGAGGGGGACCTAAGAAGAGGAGGAAACAGGAGTGCCGGAGGGGGAACCTAGAAGAGGAGGAAATGAGCGCCTGCGGGGGACCCGAGAAGAGGAGGAAACAGGAGAGAACCAGAGGGGGACCCGAGAAGAGGAGGAAACAGGAAAACCTGAGGGGGACCCGAGAAGAGGAGGAAACAGGAGTGCCAGCGGGGACCCTAGAAGAGGAGGAAACGAGTGCCGGCAGGGGACCCGAGAAGAGAAGCAAACAGGAGAACCACAGGGGGACCCGAGAAGAGGAGGAAACAGGAGAACCAGAGGGGGACCTAAGAAGAGGAGGAAACAGGAGTGTCGGCGGGGGACCCGTAAAGAGGAGGAAACAGGAGCGCCAGCAGGGAACCCGTAAAGAGAAGGAAAAAGGAGAACCAGAGGGGGACCCAAGAAGAGGAGGATTGGGGCTGCTCTGTGCAAAACCACCGCAGAGAGCAGGTAAGTTTGACGTGTTCATTATTTTGAAAAAAAAACTGCCTGTCAATCACTTTAAAGTAAAAAGTTCAATCAAAATCCAAATATGGCTAAACCTACCCACCCCCATTCTAAGACTATTCAATCTGTGAAAGAAAAAATCCCTATACTTACCCATTCTGATGCAACTCTGGTCCGGTCACATGATCATTCCAGTGGCAGCTTCAGTGAAGAGTAGAGATCGCCGATACAACGGCTGTGAAGCCTGTGTGGTGACGTCACCCACCCATAGGCTTACTATGGGGCTTCCATTGTTGGCTGACCCTCCTCTACACAGAAGCTGGATCTGGGACCTGAACATGTGACCGGACCAGAGTATCTTCAGAATAGGTAAATATAGGCAGCTTTTCCTTCACAGGGCACATAGAAAAGTCTTATTTGGGGGTGGGAGTAGGTTTAGCCCTAGTTAGATTTTGACTGAACTTCCACTTTGAGTTAATAAAAAAATTGCTGGAACAGCAGAGAAGAACATTAGGACATATGAAACAAAGATCAGAGAAGAGGGGGACCTGTTTTGGATGGAGAATGCAGGAGATGATAATGAGTGTCAGCCAGGGGCGGACTGACAACTCATGGGGCCCCCGGGCAATAGGGGATCATGGGGCCTCTGTGTCCTTGCCCAAACTCAAAAAAGCCTATGAAAAAGGTACCAGGGGCATCTCATGGGGCCCCCTACTGACTCCGGGCCCTCGGGCAGTGCCGGAGTTTCCAAATGGTCAGTCCACCCCTGGTGTCAGCTAAACCAGACATGAGGACAAGGGTACAGAATGCAGAACTGGAATGTGTGAGGGAGACAGAGAGAGAAGAAGCATCGGGAGCAGATTGAAGACAACTGAGGGGAGAAAACAATTATTGGTACCAAGTCATGACTAGGGAGGAAGCAGCATAATGTCAATGTGAAGAAAGGGAAGAAATGAGTCAGAAGAACACTGCGTAGAAAGAGCAGATTTAATGCACAAGGTTGTAAATGAAATGCAGCTTCTTCATCTAGTGAGCAGGAACAACAGCTCATAGCCTTGTCTCACCTTTGTGAGGTAGAGTTTCAGGTTTCTCCATTACCCAAAACTGTAGCTGCTGACTTTTAAAAAACATCCACTTACCTGTCCCTTGATTCTATGGTGTCCTCCCCGCAGCCCGTTATAACCGACCTTCCTGTGTTCCAGGCGCCGGCATCTTCAGTGTGGGCACCGGCTGTGGCACCTTGCGGCATCCCAACCGGGTGCCCACTGCGCATGCGCGAGTAGCGCTGCGCTTCCTGAATGGCCCTGAAGTCTTCTGGGAACTGCCACGTGTCCCACAAGACTACGGGAAAGGAGGGAGGACAACTTCTGTTTCCGATCGCCTAGGCGATCGCAGTGGAAGTGGGAGTGGGTCCAATTTGGGTACCTGCTCCCCAAAGGTGCCAATCCTTAATGGGGAGCGGGGGACCAGTCCTTAAAGCGGAACCTCCCCTTTTGGGTGGAACTCCACATTAACGTGTTACTAAACCCACAATAGTACAATCAGTCTGTATATGCAGTAAAGCATGCTTGTTATACTTACTGTGGAACCAAAGGGGTTAATCCTGTCTTCTCTGCCCCTCCTCTTGTTCAAATGTCCACTTCTTATCTCCTGATAAGCCAGGCTGAACCTGTAGCCATTCTGCACTTGCTCAGTTTAGTGTGTATTGCTAGAGAGGTTTGTTTTTTTTTTCTTGGAAGAGTGCATGTGATGAGTACAGGGCCAATCAGCACTGTCCAGACAGAGGTCAGGGGCCCTGCATTCTCCTAGAGCAGAAAGAAAACTCCTCCTAAGAGCTTTAACCAGTGCTCTGCTGAACACTGATAGAAGTCACAAGACTGCTCTAACTGCTGATGAGAAAAGGTATTTAGCAGTTTATATTTATTGAAATAATTGCACTTCCCTATGTACTTCTATGTACTGTGGGAGACCAGCAAGGTCCAGGGAGACCAGATATAGTGAATGCAGGGTCCTGGGAGACCAGATATAGTGAATGCAGGGTCCTGGGAGACCAGATATAGTGAATGCAGGGTCCGGGGGGACCAGATATAGTGAATGCAGAGTCCGGGGAGACCAGATATAGTGAATGACCAGATATAGTGAAGGTCCAGGGATGACCAGATGCATAGTAAATGCAGGGTCCTGGGAGACCAGATATAGTGAATGCAGGGTCCGGGGAGGATATAGTGACGGGGTTTAGTAACACTTTGAAATTAGGAGTTCATGGGAGGAGTAAGGGTCCGGGGTTTAGTAACACTTTAATTAGGAGTTCATGGGAGGAGTTAAGTTATAGAGTTCAAGGCTGACTCTAAATAAGAGACAAGGGCAAAGTCAAAGGAGCAGACAGGGAGCTGTCCAGTATCTCAGGTGTCTCAGCAAGAGGAGACATTGCCGCATGCAGCAGAAGTTGTAGGTTCAGATCCTGGTCCTGACAATTTAGATGATTAATGTGATAAATAATAATTTATTTATTATTTTTTATAGGTAGTTATATAGCGCCATCAATTTACGCAGCGCTTTACACATATATATATATATTATTGTACATTCACATCAGTCTCTAACCCTCAAGGGGTGTACAATCTAAGGTCCCTAACTCACATTCATACATACACATACTAGGGCCAATTTAGACAGGAGCCAATTAACCTACCAGCATGTCTTTGGAGTGTGGGAGGAAACCGGAGTACCCAGAGGAAACCCACACAGGCACAGGGAGAACATGCAAACTCCAGGCAGGTGGTGCTGTGGTTGGGATTTGAACCAACGACCCTAGTACAGCCAGGCGGAAGTGTAACCATTTAGCCACTTTTTAGAAGCACAACCATGACATTTTATAACGTTTTCTTTTATTGCGGTTTCAATTTTTTTGTTTTATGTGTCCCTAATTCTGGGAAATCTGAAAACAAAAAGCAAGTCCTCACTCGTGTACTTTCACATTTTGGACTTATCAGTGTTGGAAGTATCATGTGCTTTGGGATTTTACTGCTACAATAACTGTTTAAATTGCTTTCTCTGGCCTAAATTAGCAATTTTATGAGGGGAAAGTGTGGAAAGGTATCCTTGAAAGAACTACAAAGAAAACTAATATCAGCATTGAGATGAATAGTGTGATGAATAATGGGTGCTGTCTTCTGTAAGTATAGTCATGACATTTTATTATATTTTCTTCTATATGGTTTCTTTCTCTCTGACTTGTGGTATAAACAACTTGTCCCTAGTTCCTGGTATTCTGAAAGAAAAACATGTCCTCACTGTTGTCTGCTAGCATTCCGGCCTTGTTAGAAGCATTCATCTCTCTTGGTATTTACTCTTACAATAGCTGTACCAATTGCTTTCTCTGACCTCTTCAATAGCTTTGGAAGG